CTGAGCCACTCTATATTTAGGAATGAATTACATTCTGCTGGGAGAGAGGATCACCTCATACCTTTTGACTTCCCCTCATTAGCACACAATGAAAGTTCATGCAGATTCTTGGGACGAATAGCTCTGTAAACTTTTTATAAATGTATCCTGTAAGGTTCATTTCAGCCTCCAAGGATACCCACCACAGGGTGACACACCACTGTGAAATGTCACTGCAGAACAAGTAGCGTAGTCACCCTGGTAAAGGAAGTGAAAAAACAACAGATTTCTGGCAGGATCAACAGAGATATAATAATGTTAAGGGGGAAATCTGCCAATGATGGAGACAGACTGTCATGGAGGTCAGAGTTCCACTTTAATGTGACCTGTAGAGAAGATTTCCTCCATCGACCGTCTGACGTCTTCTCTTCCTGCAATCCATGGAAGGTGCGAGGCGAAGCCCCCGACCTTTGTTGTGCGTTTTGTCTCTTGGCGTCACAGAGACCGCCGGCGTCCAATCTTCAGTCGGTAGAAATAAACAGCAACTCATCTGTTCCTGGTTTGTATTCGCTGCCCCCAGGAAGGAGGAAATAATGAACATGTGTGCGTCCTTCCTGTACAATAAACACGGCGGGGAAACTCGCGTCATAAAGACGTCCCTTCTGTGTTGTGAAACGATCGCGACTTTAATATCAGAAAACACAAAAGAAGAACCAAACCAATGTGTATGAGGGGGAGGGGAGCGCAGAGCACCCCCAGGGGGGGGGGTATAATGGCACGGTACCGATCTACCAATATTCTTCAATTATATCAATTGCTTGGTCCCCTGGATGATGGGAGTATAGGGTGCAGATGACATGGAGACTCTATGGGGTGAAGATGACATGGAGACTCTATGGGGTGAAGATGACATGGAGACTCTATGGGGTGCAGATGACATGGAGACTCCATAGGGGTGCAGATGACATGGAGACTCTATGGGGTGCAGATGACATGGAGACTCTATGGGGTGCAGATGACATGGAGACTCTATGGGGTGAAGATGACAGATGACATGGAGACTCTATAGGGTGCAGATGACATGGAGACTCCATAGGGTGCAGATGACATGGAGACTCCATACGGGTGCAGATGACATGGAGACTCTATGGGGTGCAGATGACATGGAGACTCTATGGGGTGCAGATGACATGGAGACTCTATGGGGTGAAGATGACATACAGACTCTATAGGGTACAGATGACATGGAGACTCTACGGGGTACGGATGAAGTGGAGACTCTATAGGGGTACGGATGAAGTGGAGACTCTATGGGGTGCGGATGAAGTGGAGACTCTATAGGGTACAGATGACATGGAGACTCTATAGGGTACAGATGACATGGAGACTCTATAGGGTACAGATGACATGGAGACTCTATAGGGTACAGATGACATGGGAGACTCTATAGGGTACAGATGACATGGAGACTCTACAGGGTACGGATGAAGTGGTGGTCACTGTACAGGGTACGGATGAAGTGGAGACTCTATGGGGTGCGGATGAAGTGGAGACTCTATGGGGTGCGGATGAAGTGGAGACTCTATGGGGTGCGGATGAAGTGGTGACTCTAAAGGGTACGGATGAAGTGGAGACTCTATGGGGTGCGGATGAAGTGGAGACTCTATGGGGTGCGGATGAAGTGGAGACTCTATGGGGTGTGGATGAAGTGGTGACTCTATGGGGTGCGGATGAAGTGGAGACTCTATGGGGTGCGGATGAAGTGGAGACTCTATGGGGTGCGGATGAAGTGGTGACTCTAAAGGGTACGGATGAAGTGGAGACTTTATGGGGTGCGGATGAAGTGGAGACTCTATGGGGTGTGGATGAAGTGGTGACTCTAAAGGGTACGGATGAAGTGGAGACTCTATGGGGTGCGGGAGATGAAGTGGTCAATCTAAAGGGTAAGGATGAAGTTGACACTCTATAGGGTACGGATGAAGTGGTCACTCTATAGGGTGTGGATGAAGTGGAGACTCTATGGGGTACGGAGGAAGTATTCAATCTATAGGGTGTGGATGAAGTGGTCACTCTATAGGGTACGGATGAATGAAGTGGTCACCCTATAGGTTATGGAAGAAGTGGAGACTCTATGGGGTACGGATGAAGTGGTCACCCTATAGGGTACGGATGAAGTGGTAACTCTATAGGGTATGTGCGAATTGGAGACTCTATAGGGTACAGATGAAGTGGAGACTCTATAGGGTATGGATGAAGTAGAGACTCTATGGGGTACGAATGAAGTGGTCACTCTATAGGGTGTGGATGGAGTGGAGACTCTATAGGGTGTGGATGGAGTGGAGATTCTCTATAGGGTGTGGATGAAGTGGAGACTCTATAGGATGTGAAGTGGAGACTCTATAGGGTACGGATGGAGTGGAGAGTGGAGACTCTATAGGGTACGGATGGAGTGGAGACTCTATAGGGTACGGATGGAGTGGAGACTCTATAGGGTGTGGATGGAGTGGAGACTCTATAGGGTGTGGATGGAGTGGAGACTCTATAGGGTATGGATGGAGTGGAGACTCTCTATAGGGTACGGATGGAGTGGAGACTCTATAGGGTACGGATGGAGTGGAGACTCTATAGGGTACGGATGGAGTGGAGACTCTATAGGGTGTGGATGAAGTGGAGACATGATATATTGTTGTTGGAGGGATGAAGGTGTGGAGATCTCACTGCTCATATGACATAAGAGTCATCGCTGTAAATATTCCATCGTGTGTAGATTTTCATTTCCATCTGTCGTCATGGGAGACGTCGGCGCCGCCATCTTTAATTGTCTGGAGCTGAGATAAGGTGTTAATTCACCGTTACAGGATTGGAATTTGGAAAAAAAACCTCCAAATGATCTCTTAGCCTTCCTCCTGGGTGAGCTGAACATCGTACTTCATTCATAATTCAGACTGTGATGTCATTCATATTGTGATGTCACATCATTTTCAGCTTAAAATCATCCATCAACATGGCGGCCCCTGTGCTCCTCGCCTTCTCCGTGGAAGCACCTTATAAGGTTCCCGCCTTCTCCAGGTCCATATACTCCATGTATACTGGGGTATATGTGAGGCCAATTCACACTAAAGTGGTCCATTGCGGGTACATAAATGCGTGTAACGCTCCGGCTCATGGGCACTACAGTGGGCGTCAAAGTGCTTTACATTCATTAAACTGGAACTAAAGTCTTTCCACCCCCCAAGATCTCCGTGTCATCCGTATCCTGCCGCCATGGTGGTGTGTATATAGATAGTGAGGGAGACGAGTTACTTCATTTAAATTGTCCTCATCTCTATTCTCCTCTCTTCCGCTCTTCTGCCCAAATTGCTCTCCCCTCTTCCCTCTCCTCCTCTCCATCTCTCTCCCTACTCTCTCCCCTTCCTCCCTCTCCTCTCTCTCCCCTCTCCCTCCCCTCTCCCTCTCCTCTCTTCCCCTCTCCCTCCCCTCTCCCTCCCCTCTCTTCCCCTCTCCCTCCCCTCTCCCATCTCCTCTCTTCCCCCTCTCCCTCCCCCTCCCTCTCCCTCTCCCTCTCCTCTCCTCTCCGCCCCCCTCCCACTCTTCCCCTCTCCCCCTCCCCCCTCCTCCTCTCCCCTAGACCTCTCCTCTCCCTCTCCCTCTCCTCTCTCCCTCCCCTCGTTCCTCACCCCTCTTCCCCTCTCCCTCTCCTCTCTTCCCCTCCCTCCCCCCCTCTCCCTCCCCTGAGTGAGGGTGGGTCTCCTCTTCTCCCCCCCCTCCCCTCTCCCTCTCCTCCTCTTCTCCCCCTACTCTCCCCTCTCCCTCTCCTCCTCTTCTCCCCCTACTCTCCTCCCTCTCCGTCCTCTCCTCCTCCTCCCCCTCTCCTCCCCTCTCCCTCCCCTCTCCCTCTCCCTCTTCCCCTCTCCATCCCCTCTCCCTCTCCTCTCTTCCCCTCTCCATCCCCTCTCCCTCCCCTCTCCCCTCTCCTCTCTTCTCCCCTCTCCACTCCCCTCTCCCTCTCCTCTCTTCCCCTCTCCCTCCCCTCTCCCTCTCCTCCTTCTTCTCCCCTCTCCCTCCCCTCTCCCTCCTCTCCCTCTCCCTCTACTCTCTTCCCCTCTCCCTCCCTCTCCCTCTCTCCTCCCCTGCTCTCCCCTCTTCCTCTCTCTCTCCCTCTACTCTCTTCCCCTCTCCTCCCCTCTCCCTCTCCCTCTCCTCTCTCCTCCTCTTCTTCTCCCCCTGCTCTCCCCTCTTCCTCTCCTCTCCTCTCCCACTTCTCTCCTCTCCCTCCTCTCTTCCCTCTTCTCCTCTCCTCTCCCTCCCTCCTCTCCCTCTCCTCTCTTTCTCCCTCTCCTCTCTTCTCTCCCTCTCTCCCCCTCTTCTCTCCTCTCCCTCTATTCTCTTCTCCTCTCTTCTCCCTCTCTTCTTTCTCTCCTCTCTCTCCTCTCCCTCTCCTATCCCCCTCTCCTCTCCCCCCTCTCCTCTCCTCTTCCTCTCCTTCTCATCTCCCTCTCCTCTCTCTCTCCCTCTCCTCTCTCTCTCTTCTCTCTTCTCCTCTCCCTCTCCTCTCTTCTCCCTCTCCTCTCTTCTCCCTCTCCTCTCCCTCTCCAGTTCTCAGTACTTTCGGAATGTTTTATTAAAGCTGATCTCCGGGACACAAACTTTCATTCCTCAGCAGCCATAGAGAAGAATAAATTCAGGTTGTGTGAACCTAATGACTGCAACCCCAGATATTACTTTGTAAAAGCAGAGTTTAGGTCGTCCATAGACATTGGTGATGATAGAATAGCACAGCAAAGAAATCTCTGCTCCCCTCAGGATAGGCCTGAACAGCTATGAGAGGAATCTGAATCTCCACCGATCAGGGGAACGACCACCAGACTGAGCCGAGTTCTCTTCTTATTTATATCTGAATTTCAGTCAGTAATAAGTCGCCTCCACAGCGTTCTACACCCCACCAGGGACACTAAACACGTACACTCATCCCTTACATTGGGGGGGGGGTGGGAAGAATGTCCCTTACATTGGGGGGGTCGGTGGGAAGAATGTCCCTTACATTGGGGGGTCGGTGGGAAGAAGAATGTCCCTTACATTGGGGGGTCGGTGGGAAGAATGTCCCTTACATTGGGGGTCGGTGGGAAGAATGTCCCTTACATTGGGGATCAGTGGGAAGAACGTCCCTTACATTGGGGGTCAGTCACCGTCCCTTACATTGGGGGTCAGTGGGAGAACGTCCCTTACATTGGGGGGTCAGTGGGAAGAACGTCCCTTACATTGGGGGGTCAGTAGGAAGAACGTCCCTTCTCATTGGGGGGTCAGTGAGAACGTCCCCTTACATTGGGGGGTCAGTGGGAAGAACGTCCCTTCATTGGGGGTCAGTGGGAAGAACGTCCCTTACATTGGGGTCCGTCAGTGGGAAGAACTTCTTACATTTAGGGGGTCAGTGGGAAGAACGTCCCTTACATTGGGGGTCAGTGGGAAAGAACGTCCCTTACATTGGTGGTCAGTGGGAAGAAACGTCCCTTACAAAGTCGGGGGGTCCCAGAGGAAGAACGTCCCTTACATCGGGGGGTCAGAGGGAAGAACGTCCCTTACATCGGGGGGTCAGTGGGAAGAAACGTCCCTTACATCCGGGGGGGTCAGTGGGAAGAACGTCCCTTACATCGGGGGGTCAGTGGGAAGAACGTCCCTTACATCGGGGGTTCAGGGGGAAGAACGTCCCTTACATTGGTGGTCAGTGGGAAGAAAGTCCCTTACATTGGGGGGGTCAGAGGGAAGAATGTCCCTTACATTGGGGGTCGGTGGGAAGAATGTCCCTTACATTGGGGGGTCGGTGGGAAGAATGTCCCTTACATTGGGGGTCGGTGTGGGAAGAATGTCCCTTACATTGGGGTCGGTGGGGAAGAATGTCCCTTACATTGGGGGTTCGGTGGGAAAGAACGTCCCTTACATTGGGGGTCGGTGGGAAGACCGTCCCTTACATTGGGGGGGGTTTCGGTGGGAAGACTGTCCCTTACATTGGGGTCAGTGGGAAGACTGTCCCTTACATTGGTGGGTCAGGGAAGACTGTCCCTTACATTGGGGGGTCGGTCTGGGAAGAACGTCCCTTACATCGGGGGGTCGGTGGGAAGAACGTCCCTTACATCGGGGGGTCAGGATGGGAAGAACGTCCTTACATCGGGGGGTCGGTTGGGAAGAACTGTCCCTTACATTGGGGGTCGGTGGGAAGACTGTCCCTTACATTGGGGTCGGTGGGAAGAATGTCCCTTACATTGGGGGTCGGTGGGAAGACTGTCCCTTACATTGGGGGGTCAGTGGGAAGACTGTCCCTTACATTGGGGGGTCAGTGGGAAGAATGTCCCTTACATTGGGGGTCAGTGGGAAGAATGTCCCTTACATTGGGGGTCAGTGGGAAGAATGTCCCTTACATTGGGGGGTCAGTGGGAAGAATGTCCCTTACATTGGGGGGTCAGTGGAAGAATGTCCCTTACATTGGGGGGTCAGTGGGAAGAACGTCCCTTACATCGGGGGGTCAGTGGGAAGAACGTCCCTTACATTGGGGGTCAGTGGGAAGAACGTCCCTTACATTGGGGTTCAGGGGAAGAACGTCCCTTACATTGGTGGTCAGTGGGAAGAAAGTCTCTTACATTGGGGGTCAGTGGGAAGAATGTCCCTTACATTGGGGGTCAGTGGGAAGAATGTCCCTTACATTGGGGGTCAGTGGGAAGAATGTCCCTTACATTGGGGGTCAGTGGAAGAATGTCCCTTACATTGGGGGTCAGTGGGAAGAACGTCCCTTACATCGGGGGGTCAGTGGGAAGAATGTCCCTTACATTGGGGGTCAGTGGGAAGAACGTCCCTTACATTGGGGGTCAGTGGGAAGAATGTCCCTTACATTGGGGGTCAGTGGGAAGAACGTCCCTTACATTGGGGGTCAGTGGGAAGAATGTCCCTTACATTGGGGGTCAGTGGGAAGAAGGTAAGATTCAGTACAATCCTTGGCTGCAGACGAATGCCCGAACATTCGGTGGAAGTAGAACATTGTGTGTAGTTGAGGTTTATTCTCCCCACTTTGTTTGGAAGCTTCCTGGTGTCAGTGGTTGTTAGGGACCTCGGTGTGTGCGGGGACAGTGACGTCACCCTCGGTGTGTGCGGGGACAGCGACGTCACCCTCGGTGTGTGTGTGTGCGGGGACAGCGACGTCACCCTCGGTGTGTGCGGGGGACAGCGACGTCACCCTCGGTGTGTGCGGGGACAGCGACGTCACCCTCGGGGACAGCGACGTCACCCTGTGTGCGGGGACAGCGACGTCACCCTCGGTGTGTGCGGGGACAGCGACGTCACCCTCGGTGTCTGCGGGGACAGCGACGTCACCCTCGGTGTGTGCGGGGAACAGCGACGTCACCCTCGGTGTCTGCGGGGGACAGCGACGTCACCCTCGGTGTCTGCGGGGACAGCGACGTCACCCTCGGTGTGTGCGGGGGACAGCGACGTCACCCTCGGTGTGTGCGGGGACAGCGACGTCACCCTCGGTGTGTGCGGGCACAGTGACGTCACCGGCCATAGCTGGGATTCTCTGGTCATATAATCAGATGAAAGTATTAGCAGTATGGGGTCCCTCCTGAAATTATACCAGAAAGAATTGAAAAAAAAATGTCATGAGGTTCCCTCAAAACTCTAACCCAGTAAGGGGCCCCATGAGATGCCCCTGGTACCTTTCATAGGCTTTTTTGGGTGTGGTTTGAGAGTGGGCAAGGATACAGGGGCCCCATGATCCCCTATTGCCCGGGGGCCCCATGAGTTCTCAGTCAGTGCCTGATAACACCATCAATTTACGCATCACTTTACATATATATATATCATAAACATCAGGCCCCGCCCCCGAGGAGCGTACAATCTCAGGTCCCTAACTCACATTCATACATACACATACTAGGGACAATGCAGACAGGATCCACTTATCATCCCAGCATGTCTTTGGAGTGTGGGAGAAAAACTGGAGTACCCGGAGGAATCCCACACAGGCACAGGGAGAACATGCAAACTCCAGGCAGGTGGCGCCGTGGTTGGGATTTGAATCAATAAAGAAGTGCTAACCACTCAGCACTGTGCGGCCACAGTGTGAACGTGTCACCGTGCCGCCACAGTGTGAACGTGTCACCGTGCCGCCACAGTGTGAACGTGTCACCGTGCCGCCACAGTGTGAACGTGTCACCGTGCCGCCACAGTGTGAACGTGTCACCGTGCCTAAATCCACAGTGTGAACGTGCACCCCTACCCGCCACAGTGTGAACGTGTCACCCTACCGCCACAGTGTGAACGTGTCACCCTACCGCCACAGTGTGAACGTGTCACCCTGCCGCCACAGTGTGAACGTGCCACCCCTGCCGCCACAGTGTGAACGTGCCACCCTACCGCCACAGTGTGAACGTGTCCACCCTACCGCCACAGTGTGAACGTGTCACCCTACCGCCACAGTGTGAACGTGCCACCTACCGCCACAGTGTGAACGTCTCACCGCCACAGTGTGAACGTCTCACCCTACCGCCACAGTGTGAACGTGTCACCCTACCGCCACAGTGTGAACGTGTCACCCTGCCGCCCACAGTGTGAACGTGTCACCCTACCGCCACAGTGTGAACGTGTCACCCTGCCGCCACAGTGTGAACGTGTCACCCTGCCGCCACAGTGTGAACGTGTCACCCTACCGCCACAGTGTGAACGTGTCACCCTGCCGCCACAGTGTGAACGTGTCACCCTACCGCCACAGTGTGAACGTGTCACCCTGTACCGCCACAGTGTGAACGTGTCACCTACCGCCCACAGTGTGAACGTGTCACCCCTGCCGCCACAGTGTGAACGTGTCACCCTACCGCCACAGTGTGAACGTGTCACCCTACCGCCACAGTGTGAACGTGGCACCCTACCGCCACAGTGTGAACGTCTCACCCTACCGCCACAGTGTGAACGTGTCACCCTACCGCCACAGTGTGAACGTGTCACCCTACCGCCACAGTGTGAACGTGTCACCCTACCGCCACAGTGTGAACGTGTCCCGCCTACCGCCACCACAGTGTGAACGTGTCAACCTACCGCCACAGTGTGAACGTGTCACCCGTACCGCCACAGTGTGAACGTGTCACCCTACCGCCACAGTGTGAACGTGTCACCCTACCGCCACAGTGTGAACGTGTCCACCTACCGCCACAGTGTGAACGTGTCACCGTACCGCCACAGTGTGAACGTGTCCACCCTACCGCCACAGTGTGAACGTGTCACCGTACCGCCCGCCACAGTGTGAACGTGTCACCCTACCGCCCTAGTGTGAATGGGGGCCTCAGCGTTTATTACAGTCTTTGCGGTCATACTGCGATGTGAAGCATCTTCTTACATATCCATCTTTATAATGAAGGAATAAAATGTGGTTCTGCAGAGGGGTGTCCACATCGGGTGAACGTGGGGTGTCCACATCGGGGATTATGGGGTGTCCACATTGGGGTTATGGGGTGTCCACATCGGGGATTATGGGGTGTCCACATCGGGGTTATGGGGTGTCCACATCAGTGTTATGGGGTGTCCACATCGGAGATTATGAAATGTCCACATCGGAGATTATGGGGTGTCCACATCGGGAATTTTTTGGGTTGTCCACATTGGGGATTATGGGATGTCCACATCAGGGATTTTCCGGGACAATGTGCTGTAAGTCCCACTTGTAGGTAGGTTTCCTCACTGTGTGTTTTACAGCAGTCTCCGAGTGATATGCCAGTGGTCAGTCCATCCAGAGGTCATATGCCAGTGGTCAGTGGTCAGTCCAGGGGTCAGATTCGAAGCATCACATGTGACTGTGCAGCCACAGGAGAGGGCTGGGGGGGTGACGCTTGGCGTATACTCTGCGTTCCCGACCGCCACGTGGGATGACAGGCTCCTCCCTCTGTATTCATACCGCACATGTGTGACCGGGATCAGCTCCACCGTCTGCTGCTGTGTGATCAAACCACATGAGATATTAATATGGCGGCTTATTGTAAAGAGTACCTGTCACCGAGCAGCCAGGCAGAGATAGGGGGCAGTCGCCGAGCAGCCAGGCAGAGATAGGGGGCAGTCGCGAGCAGCCAGGCAGAGATAGGGGGGGCAGTCGCCGAGCAGCCAGGCAGAGATAGGGGGCAGTCACAGAGCAGCCAGGCAGAGATAGGGGGCAGTCGCCGAGCAGCCAGGCAGAGATAGGGGTCGCCGAGCAGCCAGGGGAGATAGGGGGCAGTCGCCGAGCAGGGCAGAGATAGGGGCAGTCGCCGAGCAGCCAGGCAGAGATAGGGGGCAGTCGCCAGCAGCCAGGCAGAGATATGGGGCAGTCACCGAGCAGCCAGGCAGAGATAGGGGCAGTCACAGAGCAGCCAGGCAGAGATAGGGGGCAGTCGCCGAGCAGCCAGGCAGAGATAGGGGGCAGTCGCAGAGCAGCCAGGCAGAGATAGGGGGCAGTCGCCGAGCAGCCAGGCAGAGATAGGGAGCAGTCGCCGAGAGCAGCCAGGCAGAGATAGGGGGCAGTCACAGAGCAGCCAGGCAGAGATAGGGGGCAGTCGCCGAGCAGCCAGGCAGAGATAGGGGCAGTCACAGAGCAGCCAGGCAGAGATAGGGGCAGTCGCCGAGCAGCCAGGCAGAGATAGGGGGCAGTCCCGAGCAGCCATGCAGAGATAGGGGGCAGTCGCGAGCAGCCAGCAGAGATAGGGGCAGTCTGCCGCAGACCAGTATGAGGGTAGGGGGCAGTCGCCGAGCAGCCAGGCAGAGATAGGGGGCAGTCGCCGAGCAGCCAGGCAGAGATAGGGGGCAGTCACAGAGCAGCCAGCAGCAGTCAGCAGCCAGAGATAGGGGCAGTCAGTCAAGAGCAGCCCGAGGCAGGCAGAGATAGGGGGCAGCAGTCGCCGAGCAGCCAGGCAGAGATAGGGGCAGTCACGAGCAGCCAGAGCAGCGCAGGCAGAGATAGGGGGCAGTCGCCGAGCAGCCAGGCAGAGATAGGGGGCAGTCGCCGAGCAGCCGAGCAGTCCCGAGCAGCCAGGCAGAGATAGGGGCAGTCAGCAGTCAGTCACCGAGCAGCCAGGCAGAGATAGGGGCAGTCACAGAGCAGCCAGGCAGAGATAGGGGCAGTCACCGAGCAGCCAGGCAGAGATAGGGGCAGTCACCGAGCAGCCAGGCAGAGATAGGGGCAGTCCCGAAGCAGCAGGCAGGAGATAGGGGCAGCCAGGCAGAGATAGGGGCAGTCACAGAGCAGCCAGGCAGCAGAGATAGGGGCAGTCACCGAGCAGCCAGGCAGAGATAGGGGCAGTCACAGAGCAGCCAGGCAGAGATAGGGGCAGTCACAGAGCAGCCAGGCAGAGATAGGGGCAGTCACCGAGCAGCCAGGCAGAGATAGGGGCAGTCACAGAGCAGCCAGGCAGAGATAGGGGCAGTCCGCAGCGAGCAGCCAGGCA